AATCTAACTTCTCCCTACAACACAACCTTTTTATTTAACTCCTCCCTACAACACAACCTTATAATCTAACTTCTCCCTACAACACAACCTTAATAATATAGTTATATACTCTTAATTTAATAATAAAGAAATCACAATGCATTTAAAACTGTGTGAGATCAAGATCAAAACATAGTTAAAACTTGACGTATGCCATTTACTTGCCTGCTGCAACACTATATAGTCTGCATGAACTAGTTTTGTTCCCTTTTGATTCAATTAAATTTACTTATGTTTACTTATTATGTTGCTGCAAAACTGAATAGTTGTCTAGACTATTTTTGTTGTTTTTTATCATAAAAATTGATCATTATATACATTTCTTCACAATTTTTATCACAATATCGAAAGACATATGTAAATATTCCCTTTGGAGGTTTGGTATGTTTGTGTCCCATTTACAGCTATGGTCATTTAAGGACGAGTCAGGTTTTGGTGGTGGATCTCCAGCGGATAAGCTCACTTTTGCTCTACACACCCCTGGACTATGTCGTAGCAAAATTGAAGGCATGCAGCTAGCTATTTCATTGGTCTCAGGTAAAAAAAAAACGACCAATCGCTAGGCTGATACCTGTCCTTTGAAGATTACAGAGGAGCGACACCCGACTTCAAAGGCAGTCAATTTTACCGTTAGGAGACCAACAGATTCTTTTAATGTACATCAAAGGATCAAACTAGTCTCCTTGTCTCATCCGTATGATGGTGCACACTGAGCCTTCGATTTTGCTATGACATATGTCAGAGGTGCAGAGAGCAAAAGTGAGCGTAACCCCTGGAGTATCGAGGATGCACAGCCCCCTTCAATGGAGGAATAAAGCCGAAAATACAAATGTGTTATAAGAATGCTACAAGTTATATGTATAATATCTATGAAATATGCCTGCGGCAAGTGTAATCTACGTTCAGACCAACAGTATGTAAAACACGCCCACACAGCCGGTTGACCAAGTGGAGACTACCATGGGCGTTGTGGTGCACTGCCACACATCACCTTTACAGCAAAGAGACATAAATGGTCAAGCTGAAGTAAGTCAGTTCAGTCACTATTCATTCACAAAACATTATAAATATATCTTACCAAGTATTTGTAAAACTGATCTTTAACTAAGTGGCAGTGATCTTGACACTTGACTTTTTCTGCAATATCAATCATGATTGCTCTGTTCTGTACATACCTGTGGGCCACAATGAGAACAAGGGTGTAGTTCTGTACATACCTGTGGGCCACATTGAGAACAAGGGTGTAGTTCTGTACATCCCTGTGGTCCACATTGAGAACAAGGGAGTAGTTCTGTACATTCCTGTGGGCCACATTGAGAACAAGGGAGTAGTTCTATACATACCTGTGGGCCACATTGAGAACAAGGGGGTAGTTCTGTACATATCTGTGGGCCACATTGAGAACAAGGGTGTAGTTCTCTACATATCTGTGGGCCACATTGAGAACAAGGGTGTATTTCTGTACATACCTGTGGGCCACATTGAGAACAAGGGCGTAGTTCTGTACATATCTGTGGGCCACATGGAGAACAAGGGTGTAGTTCTGTACATACCTGTGGGACACATTGAGAACAAGGGAGTAGTTCTGTACATACCTGTGGGCCTCCTTGAGAACACGGGAGTAGTTCTGTACATACCTGTGGGCCTCCTTGAGAACACGGGAGTAGTTCTGTACATACCTGTGGGCCTCATTGAGAACAAGGGGGTAGTTCTGTACATATCTGTGGGCCACATTGAGAACAAGGGAGTAGTTCTGTACATTCCTGTGGGCCACATTGAGAACAAGGGAGTAGTTCTGTACATATCTGTGGGCCACATTGAGAGCAAGGGTGTAGTTCTGTACATACCTGTGGGCCAGATTGAGAACAAGGGTGTAGTTCTGTACATACCTGTGGTCCACATTGAGAACAAGGGAGTAGTTCTGTACAAACCTGTGGGCCACATTGAGAACAAGGGAGTAGTTCTATACATACCTGTGGGCCACATTGAGAACAAGGGCGTAGTTCTGTACATATCTGTGGGCCACATGGAGAACAAGGGTGTAGTTCTGTACATACCTGTGGTCCACATTGAGAACAAGGGTGTAGTTCTGTACATATCTGAGGGCCACATTGAGAACAAGGGTGTAGTTCTCTACATATCTGTGGGCCACATTGAGAACAAGGGGGTAATTCTGTACATACCTGTGGGCCACATTGAGAACAAGGGAGTAGTTCTGTAGGAAGTCATCACACTTCAGCCGGCTACCATCGTTTATACCAAAGCCACTCAGGATCTTATCAGCATTTCCTGTGGCAAAATCAAATGAAGATAATGCATTAATTTCAAGAAACATTTTGCTTAATTCCTTGGGTTTAAAGTGGAAGATGTGCATTTATTTAAATTTTAAATGAAGATACAATAAAATAATCTGAAGGGTTAACATTTATCTATTGTAAGTTAGATATTTAGGTTGATTTTATTAATAAGATCATTAGGTTGATTTTGTTCAATGTTTGATTATAGCCGCCTAGACTATAATGATCAATTTAAAAAGTAACAAAGTACATTTTTGCGACAGATATTAAACATATGGTCTCATCAATACAAAACTGTACTATTGTGATACAAAATTTTCCATGTGACTATTTACAAACCTTCTGTTTCTCCCTCTTCACTAGATATCAGAATCGTTCCTGGAAAAAACAAAGAACTAGATTAATGTCTGTACTAATTTGCATTTATGAAAGATAAATGAGCATTTCCGTCAATGTTGGAAATCTTTACAAGCCTTTCAGATTTCTCGCCTGTGCCCCGCTTTGACCATCAATGCACATATCGGTGAAATAAATTCAATGTAGACGACATTTTAAATGAAACTAACTTGAACGCAAAAACTGAATGCCACCACCAGAAAAGCTACACCTTAGTCTCGCTTCCGCTACTTCGTGGCGGGGAGACAAAAATCATCAGTCAATTTGATTTTAGTATTGGACAGTCAAAGACAACAGGATAACTCACCTTTTCCGTCGTCTATCTCTACATCAGGGGCTACCATACCTAACGCCACCTTTAATATCTGAAATAACAACAGGTACTAGCACTGTCTAGGAAAAAGGAAACGAATACCAGTTTAATACAAATTATATTCATTCAAGTCTGAAAGATACAAATACCTTCATGAGTGCAAAATATCATGTGTGTCAGAATATAAACATTTTTCTTCGAGATTTACAGATTTTAAAATAATGAATTACACTTAACTTCAATTAATTGTTAAAGTAATGTAAAATTTCAAAATTTGCTATCGTTCCAACAAAATCTGAGCTGACCTCAGCTCACCTTTTCTTAACACTAGTCTCCCTTGTCTATCAGAATGATAGCCTACTTTGTCTCGGAGACTGCAGTTTGTCCGTAGGAACCTACCTTATCTTCTAGGGTCCTAATGGTAATCTTGTCTGTATTACACACGACTGTCGCCTCAGGTTTGGCCACACATACATAACATTTTGGGTTGGGTTTGTCCAGAGTACACGGCACAAGTAACTTCTTCCTGGGGTTGGGCTGTCTGTTCAGGTAAACCTAAACACAGAATATATATATATGTATTTATTTTAATACAATGCTAGACACAAAGCACAGCATTATACAAAACACGATGTCAATCACAATATCAACAAAGACAAATACAGTGAGAGTGACAATGTCACGAGACAGGGCCATAACTCTACATACAGCTGGGGAAAAGACCCGATTTTAATATGCAATTCTAAGCCATCCAAAGAAGTACCCATGACTGAGTAAATGAGATATGTCTCGGACAAAGTGAGGCAAGGTAAATGATCATGAAGAACCATGAGTTTGATAAAGTGGGGACACATTAGCTGATTTCAGAATGCAACCCTCTTCCATCCCAAGATGCAATCACAGATTGTACAGTATATGAGGTATGCCCCAGTTAAAACCATGCATTACGTTAACAGTATTTCTAAACATTTTCTTCAGGTTGGTAAGTATGGATTATGAGAAGGTTTTTTTACACAACCAATAAAATTTTCTATGTGACGTTTTGATGAATAGTACAATATTTACTCTGTCACCTTCATCAGACAAATGACCAATGAAGCGTATGCAAACAAACGAGTAAAATGTGTATGAGTTGTTGCTAAAATCAATTTCGGCTACGCTGGAAACATATGTACAATAGTTGTTATATATGTACCGAAATGACTCAATTCAGCTACGCTTCACTGGTCATTTGTCTGAAGAAGGTGACAGTGTACATATCGTACTAGTCATCGAAACGTCACATAGAAAATTGTATTGATTGTGTAAAAAGAACTTCTCATAATCCATGCACTAATAGACTGATTTGATGGCTGACGGCCCTTAAGTCCACACTGGTAGTGCTGGCGGAGGATTAAATAGACAGGCACCATGTGACAGCTCCAAGTTATCTGTTTAACATTTCTCTATAGCTCTCTGTAATCACATGTATACCCCTGTATATCTCCCTGTACTTAGATTTACATTTCTTTATACTGTCCTTTAATCACAGTTTTACAGTTCTCTATACGGTAATGTCTTTGGGATTGCCAAACCTCAACTTGTTAAAGATAATTGGCAAATTAAATGAAATAACAATTCTGGTAAAAATCTAGATTAAAATCAAGGGGTCTAATAAATATTAGGAAGAGCGATTTGGAGAAATCAGAGAACCAATAGAGGTGATATGCTCAGTTTTACATTGGTTTCAGTCTATAATATGTGTTGGGGTTTTTTCTTTCAATTTTTTTTTCTCTGTACTCAGTTTTACATTTCTCTATATCTCTCTGTACTCAGTTTTACATTTCTCTATATCTCTCTGTACTCACAGATTTACATTTCTCTATATCTCTCTGTACTCACAGTTTTACACTTCTCTTTATCTCTCTGTACTCACAGTTTTACATTTCTCTATATCTCCGTTGAGAATCTTAAGTCCCTCCATTACTATTAAGCCTGCTATCACAGCATTTGTTGTGGCTATTGCAGGAATGATGTTGCCGGCCATCGCTGAAGTAAAGGTCAGCATTTTATTTCATCATCCATAAAATGCCTAAACTTAAGATAATATTTCATCAATCAACAGTAAGAAATTATTTAACATTTGTTTTATTCTCCCAAAATTCATATTCAAGTGAACATGACATTAACATGGCTTTTGTCTTAAAAGGTTTTAATTTTCATTACAATATTGCTATTCACTTACAATGAGTCATTACTGAATAGAAACTGTCTATGTTAACAAATTTAAGCTTGCTACAATAAATACAATTTTGAATTCAAACAACTTGAAGGAAACATCAAGGTTTATGATACATGTATGCTGATGTAAACTTTTAGTCTCCTGTTAATTTATTAACTTACACGAATGACTGTTCTTTTAATACTCATTCACCCCTCAAGACACATTTGAACCCTTCCAATTCAAAGGTTGGACTAGTTCATTATTCAATTTCAGGGGTGGATGAGTTAAGATACTCACATTTGATATCAAATCTCGTCTTCTGTGCAATCCCAAATATATAGGCCCTGATGTTGGCTGTACAGGTGACAAAATCCATGGCCAGCATATCATCCTATATAAAACATGAAAGGAGTTGTAGTTACTAGACAAGACCAGCAAAGGATCTGTATTTACCTTAGGTCCTAGCTACTCAGGTTCTACACAGACTGAAAGTAAAGATGAGGAATTTTAGACAGTAAATTCAAATACTATCTTGACTATCATTCAAAATTAACATTTAGAGAAAACACATGATATGATGATGATAAGAAGTAATATTGATTCCCAATAATGAAGCAAGATTTGTACTAGATATTCACCAACCTTGGCACAGACAAGCATGCCACCACACCTATCCCTACCCCGAGTCTGATCCTCTGTGTCACAGACAAGCATGCCAGCACACCTATCCCTACCCCGAGTCTGATCCTCTGTGTCACAGACAAGCATGCCACCACACCTATCCCTACCCTACGTCTGATCCTCTGTGTCACAGACAAGCATACCACCACACCTACCCCTACCCGAGTCTGATCCTTCTATATTGAACTATGTATGTACCTTGTCCCAGACAAGCATGCCCCTTCTATATTGAACTATATATGTACCTTGTCCCAGACAAGCATGCCCCCTTCTCCCTGTTTGGAGAGCTCATCCTTCAGGCCATTGAGACAGTTGGAGAAGACAGAGCAACATTCCTTGATGGCCCACAGCCTCTGGTCCCGGATACCTGCCTCTTCTGTACCCACCTCTGTCAAACAAAAGTATCAACATAGTGAGGTTAGTCCGAGATCACTTCCTTACTCTGACAAGTAAAACTTCCCTGCCACAGCCTCTGGACCCCGATACCGATTTTTATCCTATACCTATGCACTTTTAACCCAGTTTCAGCTCTCCACTTATATCACCCCGAGGTCTTTCTCACCAGAGAATACAGGGGTCTTAGTCCGATATCGAGTATGACATGGACATTTTTGTGTTTGGTTTTAACATCCTCACAACAGCCAATATCATATAAAGACAGGTACCTAGGGTGACACTGCTGAAAAGACTAGGGAAGCGAGAAATGTAAAGATAGAGGTCCAAATGTTACAATGGGGTCAGCAGATTAACTTTGGTTCCTTAGAAGAAAACCTCTGATTCTGTCTGGGCCGGTAATTAGTCGCTTCTTTAGACATACAGGGGATACAGCAGCATTATCCTTTCCCTAAACCTGCAACGGGTGACAAGTGAAAAATTGTATCAATATGTTGTAAGATATTCTGTACAACGAAGTACAACAAACATCTAACAAAAACGTATACTTGCATGATACAATTTTACCACCATTATTTGTCATCAGCTCACCTGTGTCAGGTAGATTTTCCCAGTCCAGAGGTATTGGGGGCTTCCGCTTCTTCCACAGTGTCTCCATTGACAACAGGTACTTAATGTCATCTCTAAACAGCTACGAGAACAAGGTACAACTGTCACAACATTTCCAGCAGAAACTTATAATAACCAAATATCTGAACAGCTATTAAAACAAAATACAACACAGAGTTGCATACATATCCAGCGGGTACTTATAATTAAAAGAATCTCTGGACTGCGAGAAGAAACAAAACGAATCTTATATCTTACTTCACACTGGCTTTACAGATAGAGATATCTATTGGTGACAGGCTATACAGATAAAGAGATCTATTGGTGACAGGCTATACAGATACAGAGATCTCTCGGTGACAGGCTATACAGATACAGAGATATATTGGTGACAGTCTATACAGATAAAGAGATCTATTGGTGACAGGCTATACAGATAAAAGAGATCTATTGGTGACAGGCTTTACAGATAAAGATATCTATTGGTGACAGGCTATACAGATACAGATATCTATTGGTGACAGGCTTTAAAGATAAAGAGATCTATTGGCGACAGGCTATACAGATAGAGAGATCTATTGGTCACACGCTATACAGATAAAGAGATCAATTGGTGACAGGCTATACAGAAAGAGAGATCTATTGGTGACACGCTTTACAGATAAAGAGATATATTGGTGACAGTCTATACAGATAAAGAGATCAATTGGTGACAGGCTATACGTGACAGGCTTTAAAGATAAAGAGATCTATTGGCGACAGGCTATACAGATACAGATATCTATTGGTGACAGGCTAAACAGATAAAGAGATCAATTGGTGACAGGCTATACAGATAAAGAGATCTATTGGTGACAGGCTTTAAAGATAAAGAGATCTATTGGTGACAGGTTATACAGATAAAAGAGATCTATTGGTGACAGGCTTTACAGATAAAGAGATATATTGGTGACAGGCTATACAGATAAAGAGATCTATTGGTGACAGGCTATACAGATAAAGATATCTATTGCTGACAGGCTATACAGATAAAGAGATCAATTGGTGACAGGCTATACAGATAAAGAGATCTATTGGTGACAGGCTATACAGATAAAGAGATATATTGGTGACAGGCTATACAGATAAAGAGATCTATCGGTGACAGGCTATACAGATAAAGAGATCTAATGGTGACAGGCTATACAGATAAAGAGATCTAGTGGTGACAGGCTATACAGATAAAGAGATCTAGTGGTGACAGGCTATACAGATAAAGAGATCTACAGATAAAGAGATCTATTGGTGACAGACTATACAGATAAAGAGATCGATTGGTGACAGGCTATACAGATAAAGAGATCAATTGGTGACAGGCTATACAGATAAAGAGATCTATTGGAGACAGGCTATACAGATAAATAGATCTATTGGTGACAGGCTATACAGATAAACAGATTTATTGGTGGCAGGCTATACAGATAAAGAGATCTATTGGTGACAGGCTATACAGATAAAGAGATCTACAGATAAAGAGATCTATTGGTGACAGGCTATACAGATACAGATATCTATTGGTGACAGGCTATACAGATAAAGAGATCTAGTGGTGACAGGCTATACAGATAAAGAGATCTACAGATAAAGAGATCTATTGGTGACAGGCTATACAGATAGAGAGATCTATTGGTGACAGGCTATACAGATAGAGAGATCTATTGGTGACAGGCTATACAGATAGAGAGATCTATTGGTGACAGGCTATACAGATAGAGAGATCTATTGGTGACAGGCTATACAGATAGAGAGATCTATTGGTGACAGGCTATACAGATACAGATATCTATTGGGAACAGGCTATACAGATAAAGAGATCTATTGGTGACAGGCAATACAGATAAAGAGATCTATTGGTGACAGGATATACAGATAAAGAGATCTATTGGTGACAGGGTATACAGATAAAGAGATCTATCGGTGACAGGCTATACAGATAAAGAGATCTATCGGTGACAGGCTATACAGATAAAGAGATCTATCGGTGACAGGCTATACAGATAAAGAGATCTATCGGTGACGGGCTATACAGATAAAGAGATCTATCGGTGACGGGCTATACAGATAAAGAGATCTATCGGTGACAGGCTATACAGATAAAGAGATCTATCGGTGACAGGCTATACAGATAAAGAGATCTAATGGTGACAGGCTATACAGATAAAGAGATCTAGTGGTGACAGGCTATACAGATAAAGAGATCTATTGGTGACAGGCAATACAGATAAACAGATCTATTGGTGACAGGTTTTACAGATAAACAGATCTATTGGTGACAGGCTATACAGATACAGATATCTATTGGTGACAGGCAATACAGATAAAGAGATCTATTGGTGACAGGCTATACAGATAAAGAGATCTATTGGTGACAGGCTATACAGATAAACAGATCTATTGGTGACAGGTTTTACAGATACAGATGAACTATTTCTAACTTGTACCTTATTGAAGAGTTTTTTGGGGTCGTGGCCCGACTCCATGGCCCAAGCACGAGTAGACTTTCTCTCCACAGCTTCAACTGCATCAGAACTGGATTTCTCTTTCATTGCACTTTCTCCTGCATCACCTACGATTATATTATCCATAAAAAGACACCTTTATTACCAATAGGTCAAATAAGCAAAGGTACCTCTGTACCAGGTTTTGTATAAAGTTAACATCAGATCTGCACTACCGGAACGAGGCAAATACAACCAACATACTACCTCCAGCACACACATGTAGTTGTTGTGGTTTTAGAGGACGAGTATCATTTCCTTATGGAGTGTACCTTATATTCTAACATAAGACACATGTATATCAAGAGAAGGTATTTTCATCACCCAGATAGACCAAAGTTCCTGGAATTAATATCGACTACGAGCAAGAGTACATTGAAAAATATTGCCGCTTTCATTTTTAAAGCGAATGAGATACGGAACATTAACTTATTTAATCAGGAGTAACGTCCGCCCTGATGTCGTGAAACCAGCATTTAAGTATGGAAAGTCACTGTTTTACTTTATTATATATTTATGTAATTTAATGCATTGTACTACTACATATATCCTTGTATATGCAATGTATTTATGGCACCAAGACATTTGTGGCTATTGCTGAATAAAGATTATATATACACATACATGACACACATGGAGGCACGTCCTTAAATGACCTCAGCAGTTAAAAAGCTATTAAACAACAAGTTACTGAAAAGCGGTACATAATACATTCGTCTTATGTTAAATGAGTAGATCTTTGTATCCAGGCGTATGAAAACCTAACAAAATATTGAGTGTTCAATATTTGCGCTGGGAGCCCTTGAGCTGGCATGGGGGCCAATCAACCGAGGTCTGCATTGGCTGTATACCAGGGAGATTTGTTTGCAGGTTGAACTTACCTGCCAACTCAGGGTCCTCTGTGTCAGGGGAGACATCTTGGTCGGGGTCCTCCTCACCAAACAGCTGACTAGCAATCAGAAAACATACTTCATGATTAACACTTTAAATAACATCTGGGGATTATGTTGATAGATCTTTGGTTATTAAAACAGAATGTGCCAGTTTTCATGTTACATATATTTTTAACATTACATATATATGCATAAACCAAACAGAATCAGAAACTAAATATCTGTATATCTCAGTACATGTTGTACAAATCAAACAGACCACTAAACCTCTAAAACATACGGCTGCTCGCATTGGCGGGTACACCCTTGAATATCATCAGAATCCATACAAACGGAACAAATACTCAAGCACTAAAACTGGTAAAAGAAAAGTATAGAAGCATGGTATTACCTCTTAGTTTTTAGACCAAACAATACAGTGAATGAGTTCTGAGGAAGTGTCTTACTTGAATAAGTGTTTAGACCAAACAATACAGTAAATGAGTTCTGAGGAAGTGTCTTACTTGAATAAGTGTTTAGACCACACAATACAGTGAATGAGTTCTGAGCAAGTGTCTTACTTGAATAAGTGTTTAGACCACACAATACAGCGAATGGGTTCTGAGGAAGTGTCTTACTTGAATAAGTGTTTAGACCACACAATACAGTGAATGGGTTCTGAGGGAGTGTTGCGGATGGTGCACCCTGGAAATGTTTTCTGTCTGGCTTTGGGCTGACACTCATAGCACTCGGTTAGACTCTGAAATTGTTGCCAATGATTACTGTATGTACTACATAGTTACAAAGTCAAACTAAACCATTTACAAAGTCCTATTGACTGTAACAATCGAGAGTTATAATGAACGGTGACAAGTACACAGTGAGTGTGTACAAAGTTTTACTAAATGTTTATCAAGTTATACATAATACAGTAGATTATGACACGGATAACAATTATTGGATTACTATAGCATCATGTAGCAACAGAACCATATAATAGTTGACCTATCATTACGTGCTGACCTTTTTGATGACAGTGACCTGGCCAAGATACCCTGCTGTTCCACTCTCCACCAGGGGGATGTCAGCAGCCAGACACATCCGATTTACATGATTCCTTGCAGCTTCAAGTAAATAAACACAGATACAGATTTTATTCTGACTGTAGGACTTGAAAAAAAATCCTCTACTGTCAGCTCAATATGGTTTGAACAAATTCTGACAAGAGCATGGACATTTGAAAAAAAAAATCATTTATAGTTGAGGTGAAAAAGTAAATTATACATAAATTCCCAATTAAAGTAAGTAATGTTCACAATATTAATTTGATAATTAATTATCAGTAAATATATTCATATTCATAAATGTAACTAACCTCAAGTTTCTTTGGGCAGGACAGGTCTGTCATATATACCTGGTATCAATTTAGTTGCTCTCCAAAACATACGCCAAATGATAAGCTCATCAACAATGTAGACTTAGATAAACGTATAACATTGTCGGGCAACCTTGATTACAGGAAGCAATTACCGAGCCGGATAGTCATACTGTACAACATTTCCTCTAGCTACTTTTTTCAGATAACAAGGAATTATCAACATTTCACTAAGGCCGCATTCATTTATCGCGATCCAAACCATTGAACTGGTTGGACCCGAGTTGTTCGTTTATGAAATAAGGTTGGACCTAGTAATATAATGCTGCATTCATCAGGCGAGCCTTGCAATTGCAAGACCTGCATAAACACTTAAAGGTCTGCCAGGATTTATACCCAAAAATGTTAACATTAAAAAACAGACAAACCCGTTGAACCGATATGCGAAAGGAGCCAGCTATACTAGAAGACAATTTGAGTGAAGCATGAATACTGTAATGCAATGTCAGATGTAATACAGTCATGTGCCTGTGCTATTTCTATAAACTCAAAAACTTAGTTTGCTTATCCATCACCGATATATTGTCTGCAATGTCCAATTCAATGCTTGTTACAATCATGCACAATAAACTTACCTCTGTTGTCTAAAGCATTCATAACAATGTCGAAGTTTCTAAAGAAATTTGTTCCATAATCTGAGCTGTAAAGATAACACATTTAAAGTAAGTTACACATGAGTTAAACACTTTGTTATTGATAATATACTTACATGTAAGCTACAAAAATGTAAAACATACTTTCATGAAGTGTTTTAACTTTTGACTAAAAATGATAGAAATATTATTTCTGAATCTCCAAAAATGAATTTAATGCCAGTGAATTGTGGTTATATTTATACATCTTTTTAGTAATTTTCATTTATGATAATCACGGTTTGTATAGCAGTGAAATGTCCAAAATATTACCACTATTTGTTTAGTATATTTACTTAAAAATGAGAAAAATAATCACTTTTTTGAGAAAGAAAAGAGCTGGTACAGCAGTATTCTCACAAGAACAAATTTTGAACAGTTTGTGGCAATTCATTTTATCTATAAAATCAGTGTGAACTGGATCCAATTAAAACCCTTTTAAGAATTAAAATATACTATATGTATATATATGAATATTTGAGAGACACACTTGAAATAGCAGTAAGGTCAGAAAATAAAGGAGCGCTATATAACTTGCTGCTAAAGAAGCTACTTGTGTGACAGACACAACGTACCTTGTTATACTGTCATGGTAAGCTACTATATTGGTTTCTGGGTTGAATGATAAAGCACTGTTCTTCGCAACCTTATATAAACAAATAAACCATAAATACAATTAATGTAATATCAACTAACAGGTAGAATCGGTTTTGTAATTCTAACAATTAATGGTACATATTAAACCCAAGATTATTTACTATAAATTAAAATTATACAAAAGTCATATTACTGCATATTACTTTATTTACCAAATTTGATCAAATATGAGGAATTATCAGTTAATTCTAATTTGATGTTCCTATGCAACATAATATGGGTCACTAAAAATTTCCCACTATTTAAAGAAATTCAATATTTCAAATAGAAAATTCAAAAGACTTCCAATCAATATTGTATACATATATATGTTTCAATCATACATGTTTATATATATATTCATGTCATATTTTTGCTATTTTTCCATCTATGCTTTGCTTTTTTTGTGAAAATATCAGAAAACCTGTTGTACACATAATATTCAACATGAAACCAAGTCCAATGACATTTTCCACAAGGCCATACAAAGTAATTTGACTTGCTGTTTTAAGCAGTCTCTCTGACATACACACCTGGGATTTCTACATGCCATACAAAGTAATTTGACTTGCTGTTTTAAGCAGTCTCTCTGACATACACACCTGGGATTTCTACATGCCATACAAAGTAATTTGACTTGCTGTTTTAAGCAGTCTCTCTGACATACACACCTGGGATTTCTACATGCCATACAAAGTAATTTGACTTGCTGTTTTAAGCAGTCTCTCTGACATACACACCTGGGATTTCTACATGCCATACAAAGTAATTTGACTTGCTGTTTTAAGCAGTCTCTCTGACATACACACCTGGGATTTCTACATGCCATACAAAGTAATTTGACTTGCTGTTTTAAGCAGTCTCTCTGACATACACACCTGGGATTTCTACATGCCATACAAAGTAATTTGACTTGCTGTTTTAAGCAGTCTCTCTGACATACACACCTGGGATTTCTACATGCCATACAAAGTAATTTGACTTGCTGTTTTAAGCAGTCTCTCTGACATACACACCTGGGATTTCTACATGTCATACAAAATAATTTGACGTTGTTGTTTTAAGCTGCAGTCTCTCTGACATACACACCTGGGATTTCTACATGCCATACAAAGTAATTTGACTTGTTGTTTTAAGCAGTCTCTCTGACATACACACCTGGGATTTCTACATGTCATACAAAGTAATTTGACTTGTTGTTTTAAGCAGTCTCTCTGACATACACACCTGGGATTTCTACATGTCATACAAAGTAATTTGACTTGTTGTTTTAAGCAGTCTCTCTGACATACACACCTGGGATTTCTACATGTCATACAAAGTAATTTGACTTGTTGTTTTAAGCAGTCTCTCTGACATACACACCTGGGATTTCTACATGTCATACAAAGTAATTTGACTTGTTGTTTTAAGCAGTCTCTCTGACATACACACCTGGGATTTCTACATGTCATACAAAGTAATTTGACTTGTTGTTTTAAGCAGTCTCTCTGACATACACACCTGGGATTTCTACATGTCATACAAAGTAATTTGACTTGTTGTTTTAAGCAGTCTCTCTGACATACACACCTGGGATTTCTACATGTCATACAAAGTAATTTGACTTGTTGTTTTAAGCAGTCTCTCTGACATACACACCTGGGATTTCTACATGTCATACAAAGTAATTTGACTTGTTGTTTTAAGCAGTCTCTCTGACATACACACCTGGGATTTCTACATGTCATACAAAGTAATTTGACTTGTTGTTTTAAGCAGTCTCTCTGACATACACACCTGGGATTTCTACATGTCATACAAAGTAATTTGACTTGTTGTTTTAAGCAGTCTCTCTGACATACACACCTGGGATTTCTACATGTCATACAAAGTAATTTGACTTGTTGTTTTAAGCAGTCTCTCTGACATACACACCTGGGATTTCTACATGTCATACAAAGTAATTTGACTTGTTGTTTTAAGCAGTCTCTCTGACATACACACCTGGGATTTCTACATGTCATACAAAGTAATTTGACTTGTTGTTTTAAGCAGTCTCTCTGACATACACACCTGGGATTTCTACATGTCATACAAAGTAATTTGACTTGTTGTTTTAAGCAGTCTCTCTGACATACACACCTGGGATTTCTACATGTCATACAAAGTAATTTGACTTGTTGTTTTAAGCAGTCTCTCTGACATACACACCTGGGATTTCTACATGTCATACAAAGTAATTTGACTTGTTGTTTTAAGCAGTCTCTCTGACATACACACCTGGGATTTCTACATGTCATACAAAGTAATTTGACTTGTTGTTTTAAGCAGTCTCTCTGACATACACACCTGGGATTTCTACATGTCATACAAAGTAATTTGACTTGTTGTTTTAAGCAGTCTCTCTGACATACACACCTGGGATTTCTACATGTCATACAAAGTAATTTGACTTGTTGTTTTAAGCAGTCTCTCTGACATACACACCTGGGATTTCTACATGTCATACAAAGTAATTTGACTTGTTGTTTTAAGCAGTCTCTCTGACATATATACACACCTGGGATTTCTACATGTGATACAAAGTAATTTGATTTTGTTGTTTTGAGCAATCTCTCTGACATACACACCTGGGATTTCTACATGTCATACAAAGTAATTTGACGTTTCTGTTTTAAGCTGCAGTCTCTCTGACATACACGCCTGGGATTTCTACATGTCATACAAAGTAATTTGACTTGTTGTTTTGAGCAGTCTCTCTGACATACACACCTGGGATTTCTACATGTCATAAAAAGTAATTTGACGTTGCTGTTTTAAGCTGCAGTCTCTCTGACATACACACCTGGGATTTCTACATGTGATACAAAGTAATTAGACGTTGTTGTTTTGAGCAGTCTCTCTGACATACACACCTGGGATTACTACATGTCATACAAAGTAATTTGATGTTGCTGTTTTAAGCTGCAGTCTCTCTGACATACACACCTTGGATTTCTACATGTCATACAAAGTAATAAGACGTTGTTGTTTTGAGCAGTCTCTCTGACATACACACCTGGGATTACTACATGTCATACAAAGTAATTTGACGTTGATGTTTTAAGCTGCAGTCTCTCTGACATACACACCTGGGATTTCGATTTACCAACGTGTTCTTTCCTGAACAGGAACTGTCTGTTGAGATTACTGACATCGATGGTATCCAGATCAATCTGAAACCAGAAAAACAATCATTCTTCATTTCTATTATATCTATTTAGTATATCAAACTCAAGAAATTTACTTCAGAATAAAAATCAGATAAAATAATGCTTTGGTTCCCAATGGCAATTTAACTATTAAGATATTATGTATAAATACATGCACCACAAAAAAATAAGAGATTTGTTAAACATGGTGAAAACAAAATATAAGATAAGGTGTATCATGTTCAAATAAAATTTGTATTCCAGCAGCAGTCATATGACTATCAAAACATTTATAGAATTAGTATAATAGTGTAAATTGTTATTTAATAAAACACAAATTTTCACTCTACTAAATGTTTTGATAGTTATGTCTACTACAGAAATAATTTATTTTATTGAATGAACATGAAATATGGTGACCATGACATGGTGGGAGTTCTGTTCACAGTTTGACTCATCATGAAACATTAAAGTGAAATGCATCAGTTTATAAATAAACCAGAAGTATCATTTACACAAAAAAAAATCTTTGAATAATTACACTATATTTATATACTCCTTTTGTTGTTCAAGATCTGGAAGGCACAGAAAATTGTTCCTCTATAGCTAACACCAAATCGTTTTCTAAGTGTTACAGGAAAAAGAGTAGTGTGCTTCCACCGGGGATCAAACCTGTGAACCCAGACTTCCTAGTCGGATGCATTATGCTCTACCACTGAGCTAAAGGGAAATTCCCTCTAGCGCAAAGCTAGAAGGCGACCATGATCCCATAGTTATGTACAATCAAAATCTGCAACAGAAGTACTAGTAGGAGAGCCTATTTACCCGACAACCACATACTGAAAGCGCTGAAGGCTATAAATTTGCCTGGCTGCCGGATGTTGTGCAAATACTGTATCACAGCGGAGGTGAGGATGCTTTAGCGCATGCTATGTAATGTTTATCAATGCATTTAAACACAAATGGCAGCAATTGTTGCAGAGAAAGCGTTCAACTCATATTCTGCTTTCACCAAGTCATTGACGGAATACAGCAAGGTATACTAAGTCAAGCCGATAATAGACGACTGCAAAACAGTACTAGCTGTAAACAAAAACATATCTGACATGGGTAAACACTAAAAAGAACAATTTGTTTACAAATATTTATAAAATTTATCTGTAAATATGGTGGTGAAAAGAGGACAAAGGGATTGGGTTTACGACCCAATCAAAGGTAAATAAACTGAAAATGTTCATGCAATTAAGACTTGTCTCTCAAGCTAAAGCTAACTTTAACAAACAATTTCAGTACAACCTGACCATCTATGATGTGGCATACACAGGGACCTGAGAATGTGTTACAGCTTTATTTGGTCCTACAGCTACAGTGCTGCGTTTTAAGTCTAAATATGCCGGGTTTTTTTAGCGATCTGCCAACATGCGTCCAAGTTAATAACGTTCTGCATGGAACCCAACTCCCTACCGGAAGAAGAAGAAAAGAAGTAACAAATTCTGAGGTTCCTGTGATGGCATAGTCACTTGAGAATAGCCTTTCTACTTTTGGGTACCCGTCTGCCGGCCGAATAGCATTTACCCACACAAGTAATAAACACAGGTGATATTCTGACTGTAAATTGAGAAAAAAACATATAAAAACATAAGGACAGTTATTCACTTATTTTTTATATTATTTTTTTCGTAAATTACCACAGCTGTTTGAAATTCTGACAGACTATAAATTCGGAAAACAATCATATAAAAAATAAGGGTATTACTATAATATGATTTTTTCTCTCAATTTACAGCCAGAATTTCAAACACCTGCGGTAATAAGTATCTACCGAAACGTCCTAAATTCATGTTTAAAGGGGCATGACATTTCGGGATATTAAACTCTTACTTTGAAAATGTTACATGGGTATCAAATCTTCGGATAAATGTGTCCTGTCATAATTAAGGAAGCATTTACTAAATTATTTACTGACTTTTTTGGTTCATTGAAGGCCGAGTGATCGTCAGAGCAAATGCGACGACTACTGAATAGTAACAAATACTTCCTTACAACTTCAATGTTTTTGAATCCAGTCAGAACAAGATTCTTCAAAAGTTCACATCCAATACCACCGGCTCCAACAACCAATAGTTTGCACTCATTTACTCGCTTCTGTAGTTCTGCAGACAAAACGTGAGGCAAAGCTGCCGCCATTTTCTCAGTTTTTGGACGCGATCCTAGGTCAAAGAAACGCTTCAAAACATACGAATTATAATAAAAGAAAATTACGGGCGATATTTTCCGGAAAAGCATTCCCACAAGAATGTTTTTATTAAATCTATATAAGTTCCATTATTTGTTTTCCTTTCAAATGAATCGAGTTTAATGTAAACAGTGGGAGGGAGGAGGAGGGGGAACATTTTCCCATCCTCTTTTTTGAATTGAGATGGAATGTCACAATTTCTGGGCCCACCCCAACCCCCCTCGTACACACTTTCGGGTTAGTAAAAACTTCAGATTAAATGTTTTTCTTATTTTCCATTCGGACGCTGAAAAACCTTTGCAATACACTTTGATCTTAGCCAATCTGTGTATCTGTGTAAAATACCAAGCGAGAAGCGATACTACATACACATTTTTAATTATTTTAGAAAGTCAGAAAATGTTAGGGCGTCTAAAATTTGTTTGAAAATCCAAAAATCCACATACATTTGTATCATTAACTCTCGGCAAACAAATTCTGGTATTCGTTCGATCGCAAAATACTTGAAAAAAAAATTAAGTGAATTAGAGATACCCGGCGACGGCCCCCATTCCCGCCAACCCAATGACAATGACAATGGCAATTGTTTTATTTTCATAAATAATACAGTGCAGAGAATACATATATACAAATGGGTGACAATAATACATGATCGAACAAGATGGGCATTAGTATTGTGATAATTATCTCATTAATATCGGTAATAAATTTAGCCAATGATATCAATTCATGTTGTGTTACATAATTGAATATACGGTATGAAATTAGAATGTGTTTGGTCTTTCATAATAATATCTGGATATATAGTTTCGTCTACTATTGAGTATTGGCTGTTGTGTACAGTTAAACAGATAATGGATTTCGTCGCCAATTTCTCTTAAATTACATGCATATATTACATATTATGAGAAATTCATTTTACACAACCAATAAGAGTTTATATGTGAGGTTTCGATGACTATAGAAGGATATGTACACTGCCACCTTAATCAGGCAAATGACTAGTAAAGCGTATATGCACACAAAGGTGTAAATGTGTACGAGTTGTCCACAAAATCGAGTCGATTCGGCTACAGTGTAAGCGTATGTACAATAGTTGCTATATATATGTACCAAAATGACTCGATTCGACTATACGCTTTGTTTAATAATTGGTCATGGATCTATGTGCGAGTCTTTGAGCCCCCTCATCTCGATTTAGAATTGGCCGACTGCGGCGTATCCAGATGGCTTCCTTTATCTGCTCTCTCTGTCCAAAACTTTGGAGTGATCCCAGTCAATCACATGATTTTTCTGATTGGCATGGTCTGTGATTGCCGATTTATTTATCTGGGACTCCGACTGCTTCTTTTCTAATCTGGTGAATTTCCTACCTTCTTGGGTTTCCGTATCTTTCCGGTGTTCACCAAGGCGGACCCTAAATCGCCTTCCAGTCTCTCCAATATACGATGCGTCGCAGAGTTTGCATCCGATTTTGTATACGCATTTTGAGACGTTTTTCTTTAGGTGTTTTATCCTTAGGTGTACTAGGATACTGCGAAACGTCCTGTGGGGCTTCATGGCTGTTGCTATGCCATGACCGCGATATATCCTCTGGATGGTTTCGGATATACCCTTTATATACGGGATGACCACTTGACCTTTGGTTTTGTTCTTAACCTTTGTGGACAACTCGTACATATTTTACACCTTTGTGTGTATACGCTTTACTGGTCATTTGTCTGATGAAGATGACAGTGTACATATCGTACTAGTCATCGAAACGTCACATATAGAATCTTATTGGTTGTGTAAAAAGAACTTCTCATAATCAATACTTACCAACCTGAAGAAAATGTTTAGACATACATTACATAATCTATTTCCACGTGGTATATTGGACCACCTACCACTTTCAATTTACAAATTTTAAACTTACAATACACTTTGACTGGTTTCGGAGGGAGTTCTTGTGAGTACTTTTCTCAACAAAAGTTTGTGCTTATAGATTCTATAATTGATTCCTATACGGGAAGCATACATTTCATTTCTCTAGTTCGATATACACTTTTCTTTTAGTTTATAAAATATGGTACTCTTTAGCCAATGTGTACTTGGAAACTCTTGACTATTGAATATCTGTATCACACTGCATTCTTCAAATATACTTTTCACATATTTTAGCCATGATAATTCATAATTTGATACAATTGCTAACAGTTTATTACTTAATTACTTTACCCCTACCCCAACCCCTGTAAACGTTGTGCCAACCCACTTTCATCCGCGTCCCTGCCTGCCAATGACCTTCAATTGAAGTCGATAAGTGGACATGATAATGAATAGCATTCGAGCTGATAATTATAATTGATGACCTTTATGAACAAAGTCACTTCTCGTGGATGCGGTTTACCCTTTTCTGAACCTGCAGGTTGGATTGGCGACGATATATACATATAGATGCTGTTACGTATATAGGCAGGCTTCAACATAAGTATAGATAAGTGGACATGGTAATGACTAGCCTTTGAGCTGATCTAATAGATGAGCTTTATAAACAAAGTCACTTCTCGTGGATTCAACATCAGTAGATAATTGGACACATATCTCAGATGATTTGACATGCTTTAATTGTCTGTGATAATCACACTGGCTAGTGGAATTTCAGTCGCATCACACCTGGCTAATTAGAGGCCACTTACTCCCCCGTATACATGGTTATTTTACCGTAACCAGATTAAATGGCTGATGACAGCGTTTGACATTTATAATCAACTTAGACGAGAGTGACCAGTTAATACTGTTCTGGTTTTTCAGGCGGAGATGATGTTTAACATTTATAATTAACTTTAAAGAGAGTTTCCAGTTATTATTGTTCAGATGGTTAAATGTGAAGATATGATGTATACTTTATATATATAATTAGATTTTAATAAACTTCCCAGTTATGACTGTTCTGGTGGTTTTAAGTACAGACACGCACTCGACAGGAACATTCACCATGGTCGGTTCAGTGGAAATCGTACTATTAGCGCTCTGTGTTTTGGAGGCCGCAGCTTCGAACCCAACATGGCAGGACGTTACACTGAAGAGGAGACAGAACGCAGAAGGTATGCGCAAGTTTTATTTGTATTGATTTTTTTACTTTAGCATTTCAAACATATTTTATTGAAGGAAAAGCAATCAAAGGGATTGGGAATAAGTTCTGACAACTTATACTAGGCCCTCTCCCGACAATATAACACACAGTAACTAAAGATATAACACGTGATGACAAAAAGTTCAGCATAAATACATAGACAATCTACTACTTGACATAAAAACAGCAAGGAGAAAGGGAAGGAGTGAGGGAAGGGGTGAAAGAAGAGACGGG